GGGGGGCGGGGGGGGGGAAGCCGTTTTGTTCAGTAACACACATTAACCCACAGTCTTTCTTTGTAAGGCTACCACTCATCCTTCAAGATTTGATGTTTAGAAATGCTCATTCCGCCTTTACTAAAAATACTGGAATCTTTGATAATGCCACTATGTGAATGCCTTAGTCTTCTCCCAAGCATCTACAACAATGGCTTTAATTATATTACACAAGGTAGCATTTTTCACTATCCTATTGTTAATCAGATACTGCAGCTACTGAATTGGTACATAAGCAAACGGCATGAGCTATGAGTTCACAGAATCTTTTACAGCATACTCAAAAACAGAACTGGAAGACCCCCACCCACCACCCCAAATCGTGCAGAGGATTTAACTGGGAATGTTTTGCCAGTGCAAGATAGAATAGCTGAAGTTAAGATATACAGTTCATTTCCAGGCATTAATATATGCCTTAGCTACATAATCAGAATTCTGCTTTAATCTACTCTTTCTCAAACTGATGAGATTCTAATCTCTAGGGCTAAGTAAAGATTAAGAACAATGTGCAACTGTGTGTGTGTATGCATGTGTACATACACGTATATAAAAATCTCCACACAAACACCCCTCTATGCCTTGTGTAATAGCCCAACATCTTCCCCTCCCCCACCCAACTAGAAATCTATTAGAGGTATAGGATTCAATATATTTTCACTTAATTCTCTTCTCTAGGCTATCCTTCCTTCTCATGACCATCAATTCTAAAGACCAACAGTGAGAAAAACTTGTACTTGCCCACCTTCCCAGCCAACCATAAGATTAAGCTTTTCACTCTGTTGCTTAGATTGCTTAGAAGAGAAAGTTTCTTGAGATAAATGATAGTCAAACTTTTCCAATAACATTTAAATCATAATAGAAAAATGTAATGTAAATATATTGCAATAAGTGTTAGCAGTACAATTACTGTACATACATGCACAGAACTGTTTATTTCAATGAACAAATAATAAATTCCAAGAAAAGTTTTGGTGATGTGTATATCTTCTAATATACAGTATTCAGAGGAAGAGTATTACACAAGAGCCAGTAACACGAGGGAAAGAAATCACTTGATTCTTGCAGTATAACCAAGCTATATTGTTACTATAAAATGCAGAAAGCCCAAAGGATCCCTAACTACATATCTGGAATGGAGTTGTTTAAACTACTTGTACCTGTATAGGAAAAGATCTTTCGCCAGACGCTTAGGTCCAATGATTTTGAAGATGATCTCATATGTTTCAAGTGCCTTCCGATGAACTCCACCCGGCAAAGCTGGATGAAGGCATTGTGCCAAGCGCTTGCCTATAGTCAGCTTTTTGGGTACTACCTGGTACTTCGCATTGTTCTGTAGTACCTAGTTAAAAAAAAAACACACACGCACACACACACACACACACACACATTAAGAAAAACAACACAAAACAAACGACTTAAATGTCAAAAGCATATTTTATAAGTGTGTTCCCAAACATGGTTAGCAAGTCATAACACATGCCTAAGTCAAAAGGACAGCACAATAGAAACGTTTAAAGTGTATTGTGGAACTTTTTGTTTGCAATGCCTTTCACTTGTACACTTGACACAGGTGCAACTGCCAAAGCATTTAAAATTTCACTTGCAATGGGCTTCTCACTGAACACTTTGTCATTTTATTTTATTAGCATCTTTACACCATAATCAAGCTACGGTATGTCAGGACAAAAATTACTGTCTCCAGTTGCCAGAATGAATTGCCAGCAGCTCAAACAGGACTATTAGAGTCATCGCAAATGTAACTCCTTGTCTGCAGTTTAAGAAATTGTGAGCCAGCATACAAAACTTTACAACTGCTTGAAACTGCACAATCACTTTGGGACTGGAACACAGAATTGCATTTATATCTTTAGATCTTTATTTCTGAACAGTATATCCTTTTCTTTATATACTCACGCTGTAAGGGTTGTCACCATCAAAAAATGAAAGAATCTGGCAATTTATACAAATAAACTGTCCCATAAACATTGCCAACAATACCGTCACTCCTGATATTCTACAAAGTTTAAGTGGCAGAATGTAAATGCTTCAACCTCATCATTTTTTGTGCCAGCTTCTGTGGATCTTCACATTGGTAAAACGTATTTATGCAAATAAAATTATGACCCTGATTGGAGATCCCTAGAAAAACTGATGAGAACAAGATTCTTATGGATATCAGGGCCCATATTTGTAAAGTGCTATTAAAGATCATGATGATATTACACATCTCACATTTATTGGCAACACTAATCAGAATAGTAAAGTTTTCTGGTCAATCAATGTTTTCAGCCTCATTCTATAACTCATACTTCATATAAAAATCTTGCTGATATTTATATTGATTCCTTTGTTTCATACTATTTCAATAAAATTAATAATTTAAAGCAATGAGATTAAAAGTAAATGTTGGTAACTAGAAAAAAAGTTGCATTTATTTGCACTAAAAATTAAAAGAACTTTCCCCCTTATGATTACAACGGGTTTGACTGCAAGTCTTAAGACGTTTGTTTCTGATTTGTCTGTTCCCTGTACAGATCCAACATATGGCTCAAACTGCTAAAGCATTTCCACGTGTATCGGAATGTTAGAACCTTACTTTCTGTATTATTATACCAGTACTCCAGTCTTTAAATGCAATGTTTCCAATTCCTGAATTTTTTTTTCAAAAGCACCCAGTAGGCATACCTTGTTCAGCTTTCCAAGTGCCGATATTAAATCTGCCCATTCACTGGAATATTCAAAGTTCTTCAGTGCTTTGTCAACTGCTGCTACATAGTTTCTATATTTGGAATCACTCAGTAGCTCCAGCTCCTCCGTGTTCATCCTCCCACAGAGTCCCCACTAAAGACCAGCTTGCAATTCATGTACAACCATTACCTGTTCAAACAAAAATAAATCAAAAATCCCCCACCCAAAACACTGTTACTGAAGGCATATTATGAAAACAATTTCATGCAAAGAGCAAAGCATTTTCCTCATGAAGGGCGATATACGGCTATCAAACTAAAGTCAGGCTGTTTACAGCAAATCTTATACAAAAGCTAATGCGCTGTACACAAGTATTAAATACATGTTCAAAAGACTGTATTTATAATCAAATCCAGTAAAAAACATTGAAAAATTAACGCATATACAACAACTGTTTACTCTACACAATGCAACAAGTCTGAAGACATCTTAACGTTCAACAGCTAACACGCTACTGCTGCAAATTAAGACACAAATCCACCAACTATTGGGGGGGGGGGGCTGCATTTCTGTGAAGGGTTTTTTTTGTTTTCCTTTTCCCCTCTGGGTCATCACCAAAACAACCCAGCTGTCCACAAATCAACATTTCTGAAAAATAAGAGATCAATCTTTCTGAATCACTTCCAGGTGGAAGAAAAAAGGACACGTGCAGAACAGCTGCACGATATTCAACAGCACCTTCACGCCTCAACATTTGCTTTTAAAAGACCTGGTGTTCCTATTCAGCAGTAGGAATCTGCTGTGCTTTAATATTATAATATTATCCACACATACCAGAAGTATAAACTTAACAATGTTCTATAACGAGAGGCTTTTGCAATTTGTTCTGTATATTTTCATCCCACGGAAGTTTATGCCAAGTAATTAAGATATTCCAGTTCCAGAAACGCGACCTCATGCTTCTACAGGGCACATACTAGTTATTTCATAAAAATTAACCATCATTTTACAACAATATTTTTAAAGCTACTTCAATATCAAACAGTTGTAACCCATAGTAGGAAACCCTATTGTAACAGAAGCTTTTGTACCCCTTTTAATGGGGTAATTAGTCTTTTGGGAATTCTCTCTGATATTGAGCTTCAGAAAAGACATCACACTCAAAAAATGCTGTTATCTTCTGTCTCGAGTAAAGGAAAATGGGAAGAAAATTGCACGCACAATTGCAGGCTGAAGCATGGTGGTAAAACAAGAACGCAAACACAAAAACAAACAGAAAACCCCAAAACACAGGAATAATGATAAAGAAACTGCACTCAGACCGCCTACCAAGCATGATAAATAAAAAAATCATACTGCAACACAGCAGCTTAAGTGAGACCTTCTACAATGACTGGAGAACATGTCTCATTGGCTCCTATTCCCCATGAGAAATAATATGATAAAATACCAGGAATGTTTGAAAAGATACACATCTGTGAAATAATACAGCAGAAGAATTAACAGAGATAGAAAGTGGCACTCATCACTCGTGGTTCTAGAGTTGATGAATTAAAGACAGTTATCTTCAAACTCTGATAAGGAATAAGTTTAAACGTTTCTGGACTAGTCAAAAAAGATCGAAAATTCAACCTGTATTATTTCATGGAATAAGCACACTCCAATTGTATAAGATGCATCAGAAAACATGAACCCTTTTCTGCCTTTTATCAGGTATCATCAGTCGTAAACATTTCACGTGGCATGTAAAAATCTTCGTTTACTGAATTTCTGCTGTATCCTTCCATTCATCCCTTCAAACAAGGTTGTACCCAAAACGGCTCTGAAGCTGCTATATACAAACTTTGTCTGCAGTTCTCATCAGCAGTTATCACTGATGAAACATCACAAAGCCCGAGGCCACAGATATCCAGCTACCTGAAGGCCACCTCCTCGCTGTGTTCTTAGGTTAACCCAAAAGCCTATCCACATCACCACTAGTAGCACTGCTTTACCTCTTCAGCACTCCAAGAGGTAAAAAGGAAGAAAGCTGTAACCAACAACTTATTACTGTCCAAATATAGACAGCAGTAACCGGGCTTTAAACTTCATGCTCTTAATGTGGTCAAAGTTATCAGATGAAGTGACCTAGCAGACTTTTGCTCCCTTCCTTTTGTTCCTTCAGTTAGCAAGTACTTCTGAAGATGAAGTGAGATGAAGCAGCTTTAATCCTCCCCAGTGTCATGTTTTCACTACTAGCAGAACATTAAAAAAAATAAAGTGGTGCTTCAGCCAGAGATACTACAGGGCCACATTGGGTAGTGAAGGGCCTCTGAGACCCTGCTCACCACCGACCTTCCAAGAACACCAAAGACTGCAGTGCCTAACTCTGCTATTAGACAAACAGGTACTATAAGGTACCAGATAGGCCTGCTCTTTTCTGCCTTCATTGTATTTATCTTCTGCTCTCCAGGAGGATCAAAATTCCTCATTATTCATTTCCTTATCATCTATATTACCATCTTACTCCTCATATTGCTCTTGCTCTGGTTATTCAGAATAAAAAGGAAAGTCACAGGGAAGAAGAAAAACTAGAAAAATATATATTTAGGGAGAAAAGGAGAAAAATGACCCGGAATAGTGGGAGTGAATAAAAAGGCCAAGAATTATAAATCTTTGTGCCCTTGATCCTGATGGCAAACTAATAATGAGAGACTATCTTCAAGGTAGAACAGAAATGGAAAGTATTATTTAAAAGCAGATTCAGAATGCACATCGATAGATTTCATGACACCTCACTGGAAGAAAGAGCATATATATCACTTTTTACTTAAAAGTTTATTTCATTTCATAATAACCATCTTTGCTTTGGATTAAGTCCAGAAAGAGATCAGTTTGGCTTTGAGAAGCCCACAGATTTCTCAAGAGACAGCTGCACAACCGATCTCCAAAAGTAAAACAAAATGTTAACACTAGAAAAGAAGAAAGGTCCAACACACCAAAGCATCACAATTCTCATTTTTCCAGGCACAAAGGACAGAGTATGAACTCGATACAGCAAATAATTCTTTTCGAGCGAAGAAAGCATCAGCATCCTTTTTTATTCGGCTAAAGCCTAAATGCAACAGGACCATCTACGGTTGGGTAAAGAAAACTTATCTTCTTCAAATGCTTGAAAAATCTAAAAGCTAAGAATTTTGACGGATTGAGGGTTATTAAAGGTTAGACAAAAATAGCAGGAATACAGGGTTAAACAGGTAGATTTTTAGAACTTTGTGTGAACTTTGTGTGAATTTTAGAACTTTGTGAACTTTGTGACATATTTTATTCTGTTGCTCAGAAAGCCATTTTCCTTTATCCATATTATTGCTTTGTCCTATTGCTCTTTATAAATACTATGTAGGCCAAAAAGCCCTTTACTCTTAAGCACTGTCCATATGCTATCAATGAATTTAATCAGTATGAAGTTTTGTGCAGAGAAGAAAAAACACCTTCTATGTTTCCTGCTTCTCTGTGTTCTCATTTTTTTCCTCTAAAAAATTATCATGTTTCATATAATATGAGGTTAGAGGGAGAAAATGAATGTCTTGTATTTTTCATTTTTCTTCACAATGAAGAGACTATTTTAAACAGCAAATCTTTCAAGTCATATCAGGAGCCATAACAGGCCAGGGGTGTAGAAGAGATGTTATGTAAATATTATATACAAATAATTATTTATAAGCCTCACATCATTTCTATCCTAAAAACTACAGGTATGCTTATTTTTATTAGCCCTCATAAATAAAAATATACTTGCCCTTCCACATTTTCCTTTTGCTTAGTCTGAAGATATTGCATCAAAATATAATTAATCTTTTCTCATGTCTATCATATATTCTCTCACAGCCACTTTTCTGCTCTCTTCATTTATAATGAAATTGCAGATTTAATAATACTTAATATTGCAGCACTGATACCCCAATACAATGTTAAACCTTAATAATACTTATCTCCTTACAAATGCCACACCTTGCCTATTGTTTCATGGATTATTATTTAAAAAAATCTGATGAGTAATAAAATGGATAGACCAAAACCATTAAAAATAGTTTCTGTTGTACCATCAAACAACCAAGATAAAGGAGAAATCATTTATCTTGTCATTCTGCAGTCACCATTTATCATCAGGGCCAACTTTCCATGAAATATTTTACAGTCATTTCTCTTTTAAAACAGAAGGATGAAGACTGGCATTCTTTGTTTTTGTTGTTTTCCCCCTTTGGCATATCTTATGACAAGGAAGGGGCAAACTTCTCGGACAGAAATTCACCTAATCTCACGGAGAGTCAGGACACGGGCAATCAGCAACCTGTTGGATGGCCTGGCCTCTTTTTATGGATGACAAAAAGGGAATGGGGGATGAGGGGAGGCTTATCATCAATGAGGAGTATTTACACATCCTAAGAAACGCAATAAGCCTTAAACTGTTTCATAAATCCACAGTATTTACAACATTTGTGTGCAGTGCCCACATACCAAGCTGGTAAATGCAGAACACATTTTTATTTTAGTATACTTAACACAAACATAGATTTGAATACATGGAAAACAGAAACCTTATCATTTATCAGTTAATTCATTACATGTTGCTTCCCCTTTGCGTGAGCAGCAAAATAAATACCAGAAATCCCAGCTTGGTCTCTTCAGATAAAAATAAAGTGTTGAGAATACTCATATTCTATCAACAAAGATGCAGATTTTCCAATTACATTTAATCACTCTATTTATAAAATTACTTTCTACACAGTCCTCTCATTTTCAGAATTGTTTAAAACAGCATCTCTAATGATTTCTGGAGAATAAGAATAGTTTGAGCTTGTTATTTTGCCTAATTGCTATTCACAATAATGAAAACTGCAAAAACATATATTCTCCAAACAAACCAAAAAAGAAACAATATATTTAACTGTAATTAGATCTTATCTCATCAGTGTCCTGGAGGAGTATAGAGTATTTCCTAAAAAGAATTAATATTTTTTTTGAATCACTTCACAGTGCGCTTTTTTAACCAGTCAAAATTCACAAGTAGGAACAATTTCTTAATTTTTTCCCATTTAAAAAAATATATATACACACCAACCTGGACGTTTGAATTCAAATTAAGTCAGTATAACAATCCGTGCATTATCTATCCTGGCAACTTCTAAATCAATATGAGATGTTTT